CTCTGAGCCATCAGCACAGAGCCCGACGTGGGGCTGGAACTCACGGACTGTGAGTTCATGACCTGAGCCGAAGTCGGATGCTCAACCGACTGAGCCACCCAGGCGCCCCAAGAGCTACTTTTTAATACTGCCGAAACCTATCCCAGGGCGATTCCTTTTCAGAATGGGGAGGTTACGGAGCACCTGGGTGGCTCAGTTGGTGAAGTTTCCAACTTCAGCTCAGGCTGTGATCTCATGGTTTGTGTGTTTAAGCCCTGCATTAGGCTCCACACTTGGAATTCTCTCCCTCTCTCAGCCCCTTCCCCGCTTGCACCCATGTGTATGTGTGTGTGTGCACTCTCTCCCTCCTCTCTCTCTCACAGTAAATTAAAAAAAAGAATGGGGAGCTTAGAGTCAAGTCTGTGCAAGTACATTTTAGTTGATGAATACATATTTAAAAACGGAATGTTGTAGTGTTTAGGAAAAATTCTAAGCCTGAACCAAAATTGTTTTGAGATGTTTACCTGTACCTTCTAGCTTTGATTGAGCCTAACTGTTGATAAAATGATAATCTTCTGGACAACTGGGGTGATAGTGGCCTGGGGGCTGATAGCATTAGTTACCGCCTGAGAGATGGTCAGAGAACAGGGGCCTCATCACCTTGCCTTCTCTCCTCTCCCTCTTACCACTTCTGGAGAAACAGGACTGCCGGCACAGCTACCAACAAGCTGTGGTATGCTGCTCTGGCCCTGGTGACACTCGTCATGTACTCCATCGCCACCGGAGGCTTGATTTTGATGGCAGTGTTTTACACCCAGAAGGACGGCTGCCTGGAAAACAAAATTCTCCTGGGGCTGAACGGAGGCCTGTGTCTGCTTATTTCAGTGGTAGCCATCTCGCCTTGTGTCCAAAATCGTAAGCACAAGTTTTTTCCATCCCTCCTGATTTATATATTTTTTGTGTGTTTTTGACCAAACCCGGTGTTTTTCTTTGTTTTGTTCTGTTTTTAAATTCTGGCCACTCCATAATTTATCATGGATGGGTCAGCAATAGGAAGGGTGGGATTGAAGTCTTCACTTGGGCTGAATGGGATAGTTGGCATGCTTGTTGTCAAGAAAGATCTCAATGTAGTAAAGGCAATAAATAAGATAGCTATTACCATTATTATTTTTTTTTAATGTTTGTTTATTTTTGAGAGAGACAGAGACAGAGCGTGAGCAGGGGAGGGGCAGAGAGAGAGGGAGGCACAGGATCCGAAGCAGGCTCCAGGCTCTGAGCTGTCAGCATAGAGCCCGATGTGGGGCTTGAACCCACAAACCGTGAGATCATGACCTGAGTTGAAGTCAGACGCCCAACCAACTGAGCCACCCAGGCGCCCCAGCTATTAACCATTATTAATGAATGTACCACAAGGAGCGTTTAAATGGAAGATGCCCTGATTGTATATTACGTTCTTCCCTATAATCTCTGTGTAAAACTTGAATGAGAAGGCTGAGGAAGGAGTGCTTTCTGGGCTCATCTTTCACTCAAGGCCTGTGGACCAAAAATCAGGGCCCATGTGGTCTAGGAGTCAAGAAGCAGGGAATTTGATCTGGCTGAGCCAGCAGCTGGCCCACGAGCTAACCTTCCTCAGATCCAAGTCCTTTCTCAGTAAAGCCAACAGAAATCTGTAAACCTGACGTGACCTAAGGTTGTTTCAAAGGCAAATGGAAGAGGGGTGCCTGGCTGGGTCAGTCAGTTGAGCATCTAACTCTTAATCACCTGTTGATGAGTTCAAGCCCCATGTTGAGCATAGAGCTTACTTAAAAACAAACAAACAAACAAACAAACAAACAAACAAAC